CATTTAACTGTAGATGAATCAAAATGTCCCTTGCGCTGCCTAATCTCCCGTGGACACCGTTCACATTTGATCATGAATTGTTGCTAAGGCGTTAAACAAAAATAGAGATATGCCCTATAAGGATAACCTTTTATTTGAAAAGTAGGAACGATAAGTGCCATCAAAGGTCAAATTACGTGATAAAATGTCCCAATAACTTATATATATTTAATCATATTTTGCGAGTGTACATACAGAATTCTTAATTATTTGGTTATAAAGATTGTTGCCAGCACTACTTTAACCCCCCCCCCCCCCCCCCCCCACACACACACCAGCTAAAGTCGGCTATTTAGGCTATTTAACATTATATTGATCCCTACAAGAAAAATAACATTACGTGAAGCAGAAGTATATTATCACGTAAACTCGAGAGAAACTAAATGAAACAGATATTAAGGTATGGTAGAAATATTGCTACGACGTACTAGTATTTGCATTGTTGGATACAATTTTCCATTTTCAAATCATGGGGATTCATGGATTGATAAAGTTTTAAGTTTTGCAAACATTCATAAACATAATGGTTATCTTTAAAGTTAAACCCTAAATAAATATGTATGTATCTCCACGCTGTATGTTCTTTACAACCTGACTTGGATGATCCTCCACGTCCACCTTGTATGGTNAATGATACTGTTGGCTTACATGTTCTAACCAATCCATCATTACTGGTCGTTCTTGTATGGTTTCAGGTTTGACCCGTGGTCCTCAGAGTATGATCTGTATGTTCTTTACAACCTGACTTGGATGATCCTCCACGTCCACCTTGTATGGTTCTCCCAGCATGACTTGTATGGTTTCAGAGTTTGGTCCGAGCTCCTCAGAGGATGATATGTATGTTCTATACAGTTTGACTTGGATGATCCACAAAGTCTAACTAGTATGGTGCTAGCAGTCTATCTAGTGAGGTCCTCACAGTCTAACCTGTATGATCCACAAAGTCTAACGAGTGTGGCACTAACAGACTAGTATGGTCATAGTAATTTAACTAGTATTGTGCTAACAGTCTATCTAGTGAGGTCCTCACAGTCTTACCTGTATGATCCACGCAGTCTAACGAGTACGGTCCTAACAGACTAGTATGGTGCTGGCAGTCTATCTAGTGAGGTTCTCACAGTCTAACCTGTATGATCAACAACATCCAACGAGTACGGTCCTAACAGACTAGTATGGTGCTAGCAGTTTACCTTTTGTTTGTGGTCTAACCCGTTTGGTCTACACAGCCTGATTTGTAGTAATTGTTTTTTCTCAGATAATCACTTGGAAACATGTACTTGTTTGTTTCTCATTCTTGTATGGACATTAAATATTATTCAAGTAAAGCCTTTGGCTGTGGTCTATACCTAGGTTTATCAACCCGAGAAAAGATATATTGACCGATGATGCAGTCCGAGGACAATACATATTTTCTCGGTTCGATAAATCGGCCGAAGTTAAAAGCTGAAATTGTTTTATTATTTCCAAAACAGTAATGTTAGCAATCTGATGTTTTTTAAAACACCCAATCCTTCAACAAAAATCACGCGCTCCAAGTCAATATCGGTTTTTATCGGTGGACACGTGATATGAAAAAATAATCAGAAGATGGATCAGTCACTGATTAACTTTAACAGGCTCACTTAACCTATGCATTTATATCACTAACCTAACTAAGTTCAACCTGACCTATTCTATGTAATGATGCCTTCTGAAACTGGCTCAGTTGTTGAAAGTTTTATTAGCATAACCAATATTTAGACTAAATTTTCGAAAAGAAATAACTTTAATATATTAAAGTGAGTGTTGATTGAGTTAAGTTTTAATAAAAGTAAATTGTAATGTAAGTCGGTATGTAAGTGTGAGTAAATATTTATCAACAGGAGTATGTCAATATGTTAATTTCAGTTAATATGTAAGTGTGAGTCAATATACTGTATTAATTGGAGTATGTCGATATGTAAATTTGAGTTAGTATGTAAGTGTGAGTCAATATATATATTGGAGTATGTCAATATGATAATCTGAGTTGGTATGTATGTATTTGTGAGTTCGTATATTAATTTGAGTTTGTCAATATGGTAATATGAGTTGGTATGCAAATGTGAGTTAATATATTAATTAGAGTATGTGAAGAGGGTAACGTTATTTGGTATGTAAGTGTCAGTCAATATATCAATAAGATTACGTCAATATGTTAATGTGAGTTGATTGATAGGGTTTGAGCCAATATATCAATAAGATTACGTCAATATGTTAATTTGAGTTGATTGATAAGTGTGAGCCAATATATTAATTAGAGTATGTGAAAAAGTTAAACTTATTTGGTATGTAAGTGTCAGTCAATATATCAATAAGATAACGTCAATATGTTAATGTGAGTTGATTGATAAGTGTGAGCCAATATATTAATTAGAGTATGTGAAAAAGGTAACGTTATTTGGTATGTAAGTGTCAATCAATATATCAATAAGATTACGCCAATATACTTATGTGAGTTGGTTTATAAATGTGAGTGAATATATTAATTAGATAATGTCAATATGTTAATTTGAGTTGGTATGTAAGTGTAACCCAAAATATATATTTGGTATGTTAATGTGTGTCAATAAATTAATCAAAGTATATACAAATGGTAATGTTATTTGTTAAGTGTCAGTCAATATATTAATAAGATTACATCAATATATTAATGTGAGTTGGTTTATAAGTGTGCGTCAATATATAAACTAGAGCATAACATATGATAATGTATTATTAAAATACGTGATAAAATGTTCCAATAACTTATATATATAGAATCATATTTTGCTAGTGTACATATACGAGGTCATAAAGATTGTTGCCAGCTCTACTTTTATGGTTCACAATGCAAATCACTTTTGCGATGAGACATTTTCATTTGAAAACCGCTTAATACATTAGATCCAATGAATGAAACAACCGCTAGGTATACTCAAATAAGGCAATAGGTTCTCTTTTCTCTGTTTATCACTGTCTACGTAATGCAGTTATACAACATTATATAGCCATATCGAGCTTAGAATAAAGGTAGCTGAATTAAGATGGCTCATCTGTATATCGACACGGGAAAGATTATCAATTGTGGTTTGAAGGGTTTCATTGTTCACACTTTCTTCTTGCTTCGGTTGTTAAATTGTTGTATACTATTTATCTGATGCTGTTTTCTTCCCATCGAATCTCCTATTTCAAAACGTTCGAGAAGACATTTTTACCGACTGATTCCTAGCCATCCCTATCATTTCATGTAAATTAATACTTTTAAAATCATTTAGGTAAGTATTTCAATGTGCGATCTAAAGACATTTAATCTGGTATTTCAATGTGTGATCTAAAGACATTTAATCTGGTATTTCAATGTGTCATCTAAAATACATTTAAGCTGGTATTTCAATGTGTCATCTAAATACATTTAATCTGACATTTCAATGATTTATCTATCGACATTCAAATGAGTTTTTCAATGTGTGATCTACAGACATTTAGGTTAGTATTTCTATGTGAGATCAACTGAAAGAGATTAGAAATTATATGTGATCTACATATGGTGCAGTGAAATAGTTTTGTTGTTTGTCTCGGTTTACATAAAAAAATGTTTTAAGAGCAAAAGGTCTTTTGCAAGCAAATCTTGTAAATATGTTACATTATAAAGGGTTTTGTACGCCCTTTTGTCATATTCTTCATTTTGTTCGGAACATGCTAGACATGCTATTTTAGCATTTTAACATTCAATAGCACTACAGAGTCCTGAATGGAGGAAACACCCGTACAGGGAGCACTAAACCTATTGGCTCTCTGTTTCGCTTTACAAAATATCTAAAAGTGATAATTCTACACTTCATAAAGTTAGGCTGTACATGTGTAATCATCGAACGGTGATTATAAAAGATAATCCTTTAATGTCATCAACTGTAATCAATCACTCAATACTTCTCTACTAATGGGCTGAAGAAAATTAGAAACAGTTACAGTAATGTTTATATAAATATATTTATATGTAAGTGTGAGTTAATATGTTAATAAGCTTACATCAATATGTTAATGTGAGTTGGTATATATATATATATGTATATATTATAAATCAGAAAAATGATCCGTACGGACGAAGAAATATTATATAAAGAAAAATTCTCAACAACGAGTCTTAAGTACTTTCATCTCTTCTAGGAGTCTGAAGAATCTCCTAGAAGATATGAAAGTACTAAAGACTCGTTGTTAAGAATTTTTCTTTATATAATATATGTATATATATATATATATATATATATATAATGTTATTAAGTAATATACTAATACCAATACACGAATGTTTAATCATCAATCGTTTAAATAGGTTATATATATATATTTGTTACTTTCTTTTGCGAATTAAAACCATATCAAATATATGACTTGAAGGTCCAATGCGACAATAAATATTCTCTATACTGATTTGCAGTATGCGGATTGAACATGGATATTCGGTCCTGTTCAGATAATTGATTACGCAAAATGTGCGTGTTTTCATTGGGTGCAATCCTCAAATTTGTTTTTGCTACGCTCTCTTGCGTTCTCCGCAACACGGAATATTTTATAACGAAATTGAACGATTTGTACGCACCACCTTGCAGCTGATGCAAGCAGAACAGTTTAATACGTTGATGGTCATGAAGTGAATCTCTCGGCAGCTTCACGGTAAAATTGACCGGCTTTGATATCGGGTATCGCTCGCTCCTCTGTAATCGTCAAAGGACAGATATCACCCTAACGATTGGTCGCATGGTAAGTCCTGAAGCAATTCAAAGGGCTTACCGCGTGCCTTCGATTTTTAACGATATAATCCAGGAGTGCAGAGAAAGTTAGCTAGCGTAACCCCTGCAATTTTGAGGATGATCGGGAGTATGATGAGCTGTTCTAGAATATCAAGGATGAGAAAACAAATAAAGGATATTCAGGAATGAAGGAATGATGCAAATACATACAGAGAAAAATACAGCAATATTTATTCCAGCATATCAAACAAAGGCAAACGAAATAGATTGATCATTTTGTAGGTACATTGTATGTAATTAATTTTTGAAAAAAAATATGTCATCTGAAAAACTTTAATAACGTTTCCATTCTATGTTTGTATAAAAAAACGTAAATTAAAGTTAAAACCTCTCAATTTAAAATAGCAATTAGCATTCTTTAATAAATATTCTTATTTTAGTTATATTAATATTATGCTTAAAAACCTTTAAACAAACCTAGCTTTTGTGATCTTTATCTTTAGGGAACATGCGCAATTAAAATAAAGAAGTGTTTATTGGTATAACATATATAGTATATAATCTTTAATTCACACTCATAATGCGATCCGTAAAATGTTTAAAATTAAGATATAAAATTTAAATCACATATAAACGTAGGTATACAAACTCAAAGCACTGACTAAGCAAACATGTAAAAACCGTACACTAATACTCTACAGATGACTAATTAACGGGACACCCTTTAAATAAAAAAAAACCCAGGAACTGCAATGTTTGGGACTAATGGTCAACGTTTGGCGAAAAATCTTCTTCTCAAGAACAGGTTAACAAGAGGTGAAAAATATCATCTGTTCTCACAATGTCACTTCGCAAAGTATTATGCCGGGGATTCTGTAAACAATGTACATAGAGCCAAACACGTCTTATTCCAGGAAATATTTTGCACTCAGTTGCCTTGGCATTGAAAACGTCTGTAATCGCACGTCACTTTTCATTAGAGTGAGGTTATTAAAGCCTTGTGAACATAAAGTGGTTATGTCTCATGATATCAGGTTTATAGCGAGGCAATAGACCTATCGTTACAGAAGAACCTCCTTAACTTAGAACCTCACGTTTCCGAAAACAGTTCTATATTTCTGAATGAATGAGATGTAAAATGTCAATATTGATATAGATCCAAGCTATCTCTCTTTACAACATAATCTTTTAGCGACACATATGAGGTGCGCGTTCCTCAGCGCTGCTGAGAAATGGTAAGATAAATGATGCGAGATTCCGTCACGTGACTCGCTTATTGTAGTGTAATAACGGAATATAAGTACACGGAAAAGGGGAATTCCTAGCCAAAGATTTCTGAATTAATGAGGTTCCCCTGCATTTAAATCAACATCCACAATGAAATTAAATTAAAACTCATCCTCATTTTCGCATATTTCCTCACATACAATAGTTACTCAGATAAAGATAATTGGGTCTTTAATTAGTATAAAGTATAATAAGTGTCTCGCTCTAGGAGATGCAGAGATGGTGTAAAAATATATAAGATAAAGCCTTTCCTGATATTTACAATGCAATCCATTCAGTGACGTCATACAACCAGCTGGATGCTGTCATGGACTCCCTTTAAATGTTTTCCTGAAAAATAAAAAGGGCGTTATAAATATTTTTATAATTTTAGTTTTATTACAATTGATAATTTGATTTTTTTGATTTTTTTTAAATTTGTGAAATAATAATACAATAAATTTATTCTCGTACGCATTTCCTTGAGAGATTATGAATTTCTATTCCTGAATTTCAACATGATATATATATAGCTATAGTTATACTTATTTATATCTTGTTGATATATATTTCAGTCCTCACATTTTGCCTTCTGTGAGGATTTCATTTTCGAGCAGACAACGAACGGTAGCATGTACTAGGTAGTGCGACAATTCAAATGTGCTTTTGAAAAATATTATTACGTTATTCTGGATGATCAAGAAATTATAAGATGTATTACGATGACTTTAATCATTTAAGACAATATATATGCCACCAGAATTGGTTACATCACCAACATATACATATCATTTGGTGACATCATCATAATGTGAACATGATTTGATTACATCATCAACACATACACCTTATTTGGTGACATCATCATTATATAAACATGACTTTATGACATAATCATTTTATACACATGATTAGATGACATCATCATTTTATACACATGATTTGTTGACATCGTTATTATTTATAAATGATTTGTTGACATTAACATTATGCACATGATTTGGTGACGTCATCATTATAAACACATGATTAGATGACATCATCATTATATACACATAATTTGGTGACGTTATCATTAAGTACACAGTTTAACCCCTTATACAAATTGAGATCTTTTATGTTGGTTCCGCATTTGTAACAACAAATACGAAACTTGGAATACGAAAGATTCAAAATGCTTTCGAAATTTAACATGACGACCGTCGATATTTCGAACACTACAACACTCAAAGTTGATTTATTGTTCCATTTCTGCATAATATGCATACATTTTTATTATTAAAGATCCTTTTTTGAAGTGTTTTCTTCATGTTTTTCAACATATTCAGTATAAGATAAAAAGAATTTTGGCTATGAAATCCAAACTGTTATTTTAGTTTTGAGAAACCAGTAAAGACTAGACGTATTGAGTGAAATCAATAATTCGTACACATTTCACCAGTTATTCATTTCACAATCTTCTGAAAAGTTCAAACGACACATATAGCAGACATTTGCCCTAAATATCATCATCTATATATAAACATTGAAAGCAATCTATTTCTGTTTTGAACGTAGTTTTGTAAGGCCAATACATATATGACAATAGTCGAACCCCGTTATAGTTTGCCGCGGGAATTCAATTGATTTTAATTCAATTTGGTTTCAATTAAATCATGGCAAAAAGGGTTTGTCACATTGTAAACAGGAACTAGTTTGAGTGGAACGTGGTATTTTGTCTTGATCTACACCATTTTAGTAAGTCATATACATATAATACACGTTAGTTATACAGCGTGGTGATAACATATGCTACGAATTGAAATACACATGTAGCTGACATCCTTTCTTACAAGTACCCAGTTATGTTTCAGGAATTGAGCTCTGCTTCGGTATGAATCCGATATTTGGTAACAGACATGCAGCCTTTTATTCGAGTTGTTTTTTCTGCATTATGCTAGAGCTCGTAAGTGAACTGAGTCAAAATAATAAGTTTTTGATATCGCTCGAATTTTGTTACAATAATGTTAGGAATAAGTTCAGCAAAATGTATAATAATGATAATGATAATAATAATAATTGGAGGTTCTTATACACCGCTTTATCACAACCTAGTTCGTAGGTCGTCTCAAAGCGGTTCACACATTATCGTCCGTGATTATACGGCCTTTGCAACCAGCCAATATCTTGCTCAACTCCTTGGGTAGCATACAGCGGGTACTTCCATTTCGGCGCTCACAGCTAGCATTCAACAATTCTAACGCTGCCCAACCGCGTACTCATTTACAGTTGAGTAGACTGAAACAAGCGGAGTAAAATATCTTGCTCAAAGATACAACACCGTGCCGTGACTCGAACCCGCAACCCTTCAGTCATGAGCCCGGCGTCTTACCACTAGACTACCGTGCCTCCTAATGTACGTTGTATTTTCTTTTATTAATGAAATTGGTATGGATGCCAGACATATAATTTACATATACTTTTTATTAATGTTGCACTTTTCTCATTAATGTTTGATTTGTTTGAATTGAATTATGTTATTTATGCCATGATTTAGTTACTTGTGATTGTCATAATCAGATATACTAATAATACGAAATCATTTACGTTTTTTCGAGTCAAGAAATATATAGGACATATTGATATATGTTGAAACATTTTTTTGCCCATGCGATTTAGGCTTGTTAATATCTTCGTAACTGTCCATTCCTTGGAAATAACGGGTATTGTTCTGACCGGGGTCTCGGGTCCATAGTTGTTAAAGACGAGTCACACCAACGACAGTGGTGTCAGTTAACGAAATTATCGTCTTTCCATTAATTACAACATTTCCTTTTTACATTTGGAATCTTCAAACTTTAAAAACGCATTGCGCCCTACCGGTCTTGTTTTAGTGTTATCTCTGATCACGTAGTATAAAAAATCTGTGGTACTTTTTCTGTTTTTGCTTTCATGTAAGATAAGTTGTCCTAAATTTTTTAAACACAAGCGCTTTGTTTGACTGATCAGTTTTTAAAGAGAAATACAGACTTGTACATTATATATGATTTGTGTACTACAACGATATTGGAATATGTTACCACACAGTTGTATATATCTTTGTTTGTTTTTCTAAAATGCTTACTGTGTTACTATTATGTACACGTGCCTAATTACATTTCTTAACTATTTTAATAACTGACAAAAGTACTGTAAAATAAATATTTGCCTTTCTTTGCGTAAAACAGTTTGCATGTCTTATACAAGAGCAGAAATCCATGCCTTGTTATTTTTGTCCGCGTGCTTAATATCTAGTTTGCTTCTATTTTGCACTTTTAAAATCACGTTTTCCTTTTAGCAGTCCTGTTGAGAATTCATTTATCAAAGCATGTCCTGTACACCTTGTGTTGTTGTAAACAATACAAAAGAAGTAATACTTTTCAGCAATAAATCAATTCATTCACATGTGCATTTCCCTATTTGTTAGGAATAGATAAACCTACATTTACCGAATGAGGGGAAAAGACAGCTCACACGCACACGCGCTATTATTCTGAAAACGTCACCATCGCGTCATCACTTTATGCAGTGTAACCAGGGTAGAGTCATCACTTTTGTCACACATTGTATGCGGTCGTGATGATGGCACAGTGCATTTGGGTCACCAATACAACTTTAAAACTTCATTGACGGTAGGAATGTGTGGGAGAAGAATAACCAATCATTTATTGTGTGATGAAGTGATCACTTATGTGTGACTCGGAAAAAGCCTCCTACCTAATTTCAAAAATCTTACCCTCGGTTTGAAATTTCTCTGTCTACGTCACCCTTAATCCATCAAACTACAATCTTCACAAATCAATCTCAAGCTTCTGTTGGAATATCCATATTTACAGTTCTTAATTCTTTTCTGAAACTTATATATTTACCGTGCTTCTTTTACTACTATATGTTATCTTACTGTACTGACATGCCATTACGAATTTATCACACCAAATCGAATACAGTGGGCGTTGCTATGACACAGTACTTTGTCCTACCCTTCTAACAATTTGATTGATTCTATTCCCAACAGGATAAATAATCTATATCGGTATTTAACCGTATACTACTTACTGTGACGTCACATATCGATATATATATATATGTACGTAAAATGCTCCGTCGATTAAGAGTCACTATGCATAAATAATTCGCAATATGAATCTAAGGAATAATAGACTAAACTGACGTTCGTTCCATATAGAAGTAACTGATAGTGTAAAGCCAAAGAGGTTTCTTAGTTTTGTTAGGAAACAGAAAAGCGGTAATATTCCCAGTTTGATATGAACTATTTGTGACACGCCATTTCAGTGTACTGTTCGCTGACTATGAACCAATGTGCCAGTGACTGTGAACGGAGTGACACAATGCTTAGTCCATCCATTAGCGTTACTAAGAAATCTAGCGAATTCCCTACACATTTCTTGCATTATACTCTCGCTATAATAACAGATATACTTCAACTATGATTATTGTTGAAAGATAGAAACAAAATTAGGTAAATTTAGAATATCTCCAATCTAATTTACACATTAGCCAGCGAGACGAAAATGGGTCCCAATTGAATTATTTCCCAAATGATAGCTGAGAGCAAAGGCTAGCGAAGGCGAAGCTAATAGGTATGTGAAGAGGGTACATTTATGGTCGGATGGTCGCCTGGGAAATATTGTTCACTTTGCTAGCAAATGTAGTAATATGAATGTATTATTCAAAATCAAGCTCCAGCTACCTAGGGAAATCTGTGACTACGTCATAATCAATAGTCCATGCGTTTATGACGTTGCTGATTTCATAGAGTTCTAGATTTACAGTATATTTTGTAATAGTATCAATTTCTCGATTAACCATTGATAAATTAGTTTAAATCGACATGGAATTCAAGCTATGTTCTTGCTACCCATTCTGAAATATGTATCACTGATGTGGACAAAACGGACACATGCTGCAGTAAAAATGTTGTCTTTATATGGCTTTCATTACCGACTCAGTTGATTTTAAAACACTTAGTTGGCACTCCTTAATCCGTTTACCTAGAGATTATTACGATTTTATTAAAAGTGCATCTGGTTTTCTGAGAAAAGTATTGAATGTTTATCATTTTCTCGTTATTAGTGAAATTGTATTTCGAAAAAAACTGTGATGTTGGTTGTGATTTTCATATAAAATTGAATAAAGCTTAATACGTTAACTTCTCTCGGAAAAGAAAAGTTCATATCTAAACTTGTCCTTGAGTTGTATATGGCTTGTGCTATTGATATAGGCCTTTTAGGTAATAACGACAGTAGGGTACATATATTGGCACTGGATCCCAGCAAACAAACAAAAGCTCGTTGGAAACTCTTTTTTGAAACTGTATGTTTTTGCAAAGTTGTTAACGATATAGGTTGACTTCGTGTGGGAAAAGCCTTAGACTGAATGGGCTATATACAAATCCATGCCATCAGTCCTACTCTTAATATTTATATTCATCATTAAGGGGTTTACGCACCTGCCCTTTCGTATGATGCAATGCTATTAATTTTTGGCTTATTATCTAGTACCAAATATTGATGTGGCAAAATTGAAGGAAAAATACATGTTTGATGGTATTTTACTGTAAACAATATATGTACATTGTATAATATGAAAGTACAGTATAGACTGCTTCATCATGCCGATGTTAAGGTATTTATAAGTCAGATTGATGTTTGCATTGAAATCTATGTTCTTCAGTTCGTGTTATATTTAATTTATTCTGTGAATGCTTTGACAGAGGGATACACATTTTGTCCATGTACATATGTATTATCATCTATATTGTTTGGGTGATGTTTTCAGTGGAATCTGTCGCCGTCGACCACACTTCCACCGCAGGGTCTTGTCTGTACCAAATGTTAGAGAGGCAATCACACGTTGTGTGTGTTACGTTGATCTATCTAATAGTTATTACTATTAAGGAAATATAAAATGAAAAATAAATAAATGCATAGTAACGCGTAAGCTAGTACCACGGTAAAAGAGCTGTTTTCCACGTGTTCAGCTTCTTTTCCAAGCTTTTTCATTTACTAGAGAAAACCCAATAATGATATTACCACTGCACCACTTAAAATACACGTAAAGCGTGATGTAACAGAACCTCTCTTCCATTACATCCTAAATTACAACATATTCCTAGAGAACAGTATCTGACACGGTTTAAGACTAACTGTGCTTACAAACTAAATGCATAAACATGTAATATGTATTGTTAATTGATATAAATAGAGGAGATATAACGGATTCCCTTGAATACCATATATATATATAAATTTCATGGGTATGGCAGAGTACCGTCATTTTTCAGGAGTGCGGAGGTGGAGGTGTTTAAGCTGTTTAAAGGACTGGTATGGCTCTCTTTTGAAAGGGAATCAATTTTATACAGTAACACGGCATTTATCTTATCCCGTAGGTGATATAAGTATACAAAATATTTACGCCAATGATCGTCCGGCCGAAGAGACCAATACTGGCACTATTGCGTACAGATCGTAATATCACATAATTGTTTTGTGCACTATGCCGCTAATATGTTTGTTCTGAGCATTGTTATATAATCGACTATTGCTATGACCGACATGGTCGTAATTGTGACGTCACGATGAAAGCAGTTGAATGAAATCACATTTAGGCAACAGCTGACTTTTATATCGAAATGCTTACAATTTATATTAACTCTTAAAATGGCAATACGTGTCTTAAGAAGAAGACTTACAGAAGGAAATATGCTTTAAAGTAATGCATTTAACATACCGTTGTAGTCGTCGTCTTTGACGAGACTTTTTACTTGTCTTACAAGCTTTACTAAACGATGACATTGGACTGCATTTTTTGTCAATTTGGAAGTTGTCAATTTGTTCTCTGGCCTCCTCCGGTAAGAGCATATCCTCATTGTCATCTGTTGCGAGATTATCTGACGTCATCAGTTCACGTGACATCCTTTCTGCGGCATTCACGAGTTGTGTATCATATGGTGGCTGGAACGTTTCCTCAGTTCTAAATGCGTACAGTTGTGGCATTATCAGCTTCAACAAATTGCAGTTTTTGCACCATTCAGCAGCATTTGATGCATTCAAGGGGAATTTAGATACATCTTCATCTTCATCGTCGTCATCACGGAGTTGACGTAGTGATTTCCTTGTCGTCACGAGGATTGGATGTTGGTCGCTATTTGACCGGATCTACAGTTAAAGATGTCATCCAAATATTCTGTTTAGGAATGCAAAGTCATGCCTGTTCGAATTCTAGATCGATGCAGATTCGAATATTTAAGCCATATGAACAGATCGCATCCAACTGTTTTGTTTGTTGATGAGAAATCATGCTTTTTGAAAGTCATAGAGATTTCAACACTCATATCGTACATATAGCTATCATCCAAATTGTTTGCTTGCGCATAAGAAGTCATGCTTTTTTTTAATTCAAGAGCAAAGCATGTTCCAAAATTCAAGCCACACACGGATAGCCAAACTTGTCTTCGAAACGTTTCGTTTGTTGATGTGAAATCATGCCATTTCGAATTCTAGAGAAATGCATATTCCAGAAGTGATACCACACAGACGACGAGAAATTATTTTCTTTTAATGAAAGAAAAAAAAGAGAATAAGTCATCATTTTGAGATGTTATAGTGTAGTCTTGTCCATGCTGTTTAAACAGAGTTAAGAACAAACCCTTAACTGGATAGACGTTTCAGGAAACACAGGAAAATGAAAAGGTAGTGCTTAGTTGAAGTATCGTTTTGAGTAGCTGCAAAGTCATCATCACATTTAAGGAAAAATAAGAAAACGAACAATCTGTTCCCAGTCATCCAAAGACGCATGTTTTGGCAGTATTTGGAAATATAGCAAACTAACAACACGTAGAATCGTAAAAGAGATAAAAAAAGAGTTTTGATAAAAGAAATAACATATATATAATTTTATTTGTAATACACAAGCAAAACATCTTTAAATGTCCCTCTAAAAATCTCTAAATATGGATTATTATGAACAATCTCGGTATATCCATTGATCTTTTGCAAGGAATTATGGAATTGATCTATGGTCTTAACAAATCGAATGATAGCCTAACACAAGAGTTACTAGACTATAGAGTTCCAACAGCGTTTATGTGTTATCACCCAGACGTCCTTATATCACCAAAGCTGACAATAGGACGTAAATACATATAAACCCAGCCCAAACACAATATCGTAACTCAGAACGCATAATACTGAGCTAATACAGGGAATTTGTCGTTGATGATAGCGCTCTGAGACTTCGATAACCTCATCGCGGACACATTCGGTGTAAATATCATCATATTCAAAACAGCAACAGTAACATTTGTAGATGTAAATATGATGAACAGTTTCGAAAAACCAAACATATTTAAAGCAGGTTCAACCATATCCGGTATCATTACTGCGGTATATGGTAATACAGTTACAGTTGCTATAGTTAGATTTCCCTTGCAGGCATTTGTGCCGTTAATGAGACCGTTGTTGGATTCAATCCAGCGGAGAGAAAAAATATACAATTAGTACATTTACAACAAGTGAAATGCACACGATGGTACTTATAATGAGCTACACATCAATCGCTGGCACTATACAGTTGTAATTGTCATTAAGGAACAAGAAATGAATAAGTAAATCGCCATAATAAGACGGTAATTAGAAAATGGAACTTCTCGCTTGTGCACAGGTTCGCGGTGGGACTTTTTAAACTGATCTTGGTGTGGAAAATTACGCCTCGGCAATGGTTTCTGAAATCTTTATATTCAATATATATAACCTATATAATCTACAAATAATTTACTGACGCGAAAAGTCCTTCCATATCGCAAAAAATCCATTTTACAGTATATAGAATTGCATCAAGATAAACGCAAATGCCACTGGACGAAACAAATGTTACTTTCAATAATTTAACTTAACTGAGGTAACGGGTTCGTCTAACATATTCAAACGGTAGGTCAATGCAAACGGGAATAGGAAGGTTCATGATGATACGTCAATACCGTTGAAATTAGGAGCTTGTTGATAGCAGCTCCTGACATGTGCTAGGCGCTAAAGGGGCTCAAACGCCGCATACGTATGTAACTCACAATATTTCATTTTAGAGACTATATAAGGAGTTTTTTGATAAAAGATCGAACGTCACAAATTAACTTTTGGTTGAAAACAGCGTATAAGGAGATGTGATATGCTCAATAAAGTATATTGATAAATACCACAACTCCACCACAGCACACGAAAAGGTACAAACTTTCCCAAGAGAGAATGGGAACACTACGCTGATAAATTCGCGGTATTATATTTCTATACAAATAACTAAAAATGTCTTTTCCTCGAAAATACCCTGGTGTACAGTATGAAGAGCTTCATATGAAACATAAACAGGAATTCAAGAAAATACATATTCAGTAGATGGTCTCATATGATGAATATCAGTATGGTAAGATATAATATAAGGTGTGATACGTCTGAATGAATGATATTATGATGTCCAAATTGAATATATGATATAAATATCCTAAATATTCGTGCTAACTATGACCTAACATATTGTTAGTTGTGATAGGTCTATATATTTCTATGATAGGTAGGTATATATTGCAACGATAGATAAAAAGGTAGGCGGACCGTGGTGGCCGAGTATTGCAGGCGTCTGATCATCTACCATCACTAGCCCTCCGCCACTGAGTCGCGGGTTTCAGGCCTACGTAGGCAAGTCGCCAGATAATACCCGCAGGTCGGTGTTTTTTCGCCGGTTTTCCTCCATCGCCAAAAACCTGACCCGTCCATAGCTGTTACTAGCTCGTAAAGCACAAACAACCAAACCAACTTTAGATAGGCATTGCATGGGATGGAATACGGATTCAGTAGAGTCCGCAGAATAATATATAAGTTCAATTATCTAGATTCATATATATAGCCTATATTGAGAGATATTGCTGATTCAGGTTCTTGTCAGCATATGTACTGTATACATTATCTTAACTGCCAATATCTATATGTACATAATGTACAATATAGACTAGAATGTTCAATTTAATACCAACCCCTACCATTACAAGAAAACATGCTTCCAATGATTGAAAGTTCAAAAATTCATCATGACATGCCTTAAGGGACGAAATGTGTTAGGTGTGACTGAAGACTAAGATTGATAGTCCTATCACAGCTACTAAAGTACATCTGAAAACACCCCTGGTGAAAAACGTTTTGTAGTCAGCACAAGTGTAAACGTATAACCACAATTATTACAGGCGACGTAGTATCAGCTTTTAAGTTCAAAATTGTCTGTGTGTTCACACAATTTTATATTCTGTTTTACTTTGTATTAAAAGGACCCACTTAACACAATGTGTGGTAATTGTTTCATTTTGTAAACATGAATTACAGAATATATATATTAATGTATGACGAGTATGCTAGGTAATGTGGGCTTCTAATTAATTTTTATTATTGTATTTATAATCAGCAATCCAGCATTTTGCTAATATCGAAACATGGAACTCTCACAGCCAGACGATATTTATGAATGATATATGAATCAATAACATTAAAATACGTCCCTGTGCAGATCTAAACAAGATTCAATGATCCCATGATAAAGGGATGCAATGCTGCGTGTCTAGTAGGCAGTGCATGTCTGTACACATACCTGTATTATTAATGTTCATTAGCCCACAAAACATCAATGACAGACCTGTGCAATACACAACACGTTATATCATAACAGGTGTTTATTGGTCGAAAGGAACTATCGTTAGCGTTTTCATTAAGTACAGGCAGCAAGCAAAACAGTCTGGTTAGGTTCCGATTATGGCCTGTTTAAATCACCGTTTTCTTATATATCTCATATGCATTTTTTTAAATAGTTCAACGGTTAAAAAGATTTCTGTTTAAATAGGAATTAATGAAAAGCCTATATCGTTATATAGTTAAATTAAAAACAATCAACAATATTGCTGTTATATTGACGTGGTGAAATACATGTAATTATGATATGTTTCACCGTACTGTAAAATCATAAATTTTCGTGGGACATTAAATTTTGTTTATTTCGTGGATAACAAAAATCCACGAAATTAAATCCCCACGAAAACATTAATTTGGTATGATACAGATAGGGAAAAATCAGAAATCATCGAAATATAATGTCATTGAAACAGGCTAGTATATGAAAACCACGAAATTTTAACACAACGAAAATAAATGATTCTACAGTATGGTGAGATAGATATATATATTCAGGTTATCATTAGCTTCTTATACATTCTCTAACCCTCGCTATATATTCCAGCATAATACACAATAACATGTTAATTGTGCCAGATTCTATTATACAACGTCACAGATATCAAAATACATTGACGGATTAGGGGTTTTGGGGTGGGACAGCGTTTGTTTGCATGACAAATTATTTCCGTCAAGGTTCGGTGTTTTGAATTTTTTTTGGAACAGTCTAGTTTTGCTTTACGCTCAGCAAAGACAGAAAACAGATTCAATCCAAGGTTCCCTGATCACATTACTGTCACAGTAAAACCTGTATAGGAAGTCCAATGAGCGGCCTCGTACCACAGACGCTAAACTAATACAGGTTCAGTTCAGAAAGAAATTAATTTTAACTGTATATCAAATAGGTATATTGGGAGAAAAGGATTGTGTTAAATGCTTCCTGCGTATTATCAAAACATATGTTGAACATTATGGACTGAAATTGGACACACAGTATAGAAATGAACGGTATCATTGACAGATGATACTATAATCGGCCATTGCTGTCTGATAGGACACTGGGGAAGTCAGTATAATATTACACAAGACTAATCATTTATAATGTATGCTATTTCCATGTAGATATCACTTTCCTGGGCAATATTGCATGTCGAGGCTTTAACACGTAAATCAAGCTAGTACGGGATGACTATAACAATCCATACCTAATGGGGAAGGGTTGAGGTAGAGACCTAAACAATCAACATATTTCTCTTGAACGTTTTGTGATGTGAAAATCCATCTAAAACATAATAGTTTTTCGATTTAATATTCAGTACGATACCCATAACCTAAGTGCATGTATTCGTATTGTGTATATATCACCGTTATAAATAATCCCATAGAAACTAGAATGGTTAATTCTAAGCTAAGTTGTCGCATTGCGATGTGCAGTTTGTTAGACGAATAGGATA